CAGACACCACAATAGTGTACTTCATGGCATCTGCAAAGCATTGGAGACACACACCACTGAGTATATTACCTCATCGCGCCTGTCATCAGCAAATAGAACATGCATGTGAAGAACTAGTTGCTGAAGCAAGCCCAGGCAGCATCACTACATTGTCACAGGAAAGAACACCGTACTTGATTAACAAGTCCGTTAGCTCAACTAACTCAAGAAGTTTCAAAAGCAAGTTCATGGCAGCTAATGTCTAACACTCGCAGACTTATTTCCCATTCAAAATGACGTTTAAACTTTCACTAAGATACGCTTTGGTTCCAGAAGTAACTCAGCCTTAAAGTCTGTGATTTCCTGGCTTCTGCAAGGAAGTACTACCTTTTGTTTCATAGCACCAAACAAATTATTGTCTTTAAAATGGGTTTATTCTCCCGCTAGATACAGCTCTGCTTGACCTGCAGGCAAGAGGTAAGGTGCCTAATCTCTTGCAGGCTCTGTAACATATGCAGCCTTGGTCCATGAGATCACTGTTTCTGAAAAGATGCTATCATTTAATACCTTAAGTTTGGGCTGTGAAGTCTATGTTTTAGCAGTAAAGTCTCTCCGCTAAACTTGCAACTGCCATTCACAGTGACTTGCATACATATGAAACAAATGCCAAGTCCATAAATATTTGTAGGCCACAGCTTGTCATCAGGCCTGCCTGACTGCCAAGAGGAAGCTCTCTGACCTCTGCTAAGAGTTCTCACATCTAATAAGAAAAGAGTTCTGCCCATACTTGCAGCTAGGAGAGTTCACAGTAGTATTCAGCATTATAATGAGAACAGGATGTCACTAGTTGCCAGGCTCAACCATCTTCAAAAATCTGTACCTGTATCAGTGAGCCTCTTCACCAGCTGAGCAACAGTAGACCTCTTCTGGCCAATTGCAACATAGATACAGTACAGCTTCTTTTTCTCATCTGTTCCATCATTAAATCGTTTCTGGTTGATTATTGTGTCAATCGCAATTGAAGTTTTCCTGTGTAACGCAGAGATCGGTAAGTTAAGCTGCCTACGGTTCTCCCAACCTCTACACAGTTCTGTGCTCAGCTTTGTACAGCAGAGCACGCTGTACTCCTGTCTCTGTTTAAGGAAACGTTTTTAGCTTGGGCATTTAACTTACCCCGTCTGCCTGTCACCAATGATCAGCTCACGCTGGCCACGACCAATTGGCACCAAGCTGTCCACAGCCTTAATACCAGTCTGCATAGGTTCACGCACAGAGATTCTGGGAATGATTCCAGGGGCCTTTAAGCCAACTCTTCTACGCGTCTTAGATGTAATAGGACCCTTAAAGAGAGGAGAAAGCCTCTTGCAGTCTCTATCACATAGATACAAGCCGAGGTAGTAAACACCTTGTTACACTTACCTTCCCGTCAATTGGATTGCCCAGGGCATCTACAACGCGGCCCAGCAGCTCTTCCCCAACTGGAACATCCACGATGGCACCAGTCCTCTTCACAACATCCCCTTCCTTGATCAGTCTGTCATTACCAAATACGACAACACCAACGTTGTCAGGCTCCAAATTCAAGGACATACCCTAAGACAAAGATCACATTATTCTGAGGAAAACCATGCCAACATTTACAAAATTTTGACAGTTTAACACCAATATGATTATTCTACAGTGTAGAACATCCAACATCATGTTATCTCCATCTTATTTGTAATAACAGTCAATGTCCTGCTTTACTGTACAATCTGTGTATTTTCCTCCATACTGGTGAGAGAAACTGCCTAAGCCTTCGCCTTACTACATAATTAATTATACTTGCAGCAGTCTAGCATTAAGTCATTTATCTCTCTAAAAATAACAGAAAGGATAAGCAGGGTTCAAATACAATGTTTCTCTCCTGCCTAGGAACTGGACAAGGGAAAAGCACTGGCTTCTTCTCTGCCTAAGGCAAGTTAGGTCATTAAAAATACTGGAAGACATGTTGCAGTACCCTCAGAACAGTCAGACAGCTTTTTAACTCTAGCCTACTCTTAGGACTACAGGTCAGCAAACTGCACACTGTATTGGACTACAGAGGCTATTATTCAACAGTAAACAGACAAGCCAGCCTGAAACCACAGATTCGTTAATACTTTCTAGATAAAGTCATATGAAGCTCAAATGTTGGCCAAGAACCCTATACTAATACTGAAAGCAAAATATCACAAATTCAAAGAATATTTTCTTTTTGTAGTATTATTTCAACTAGTTACGACACATTAAAGTTGTAATTAAGTCTGCAAAAGGTCCATATGGGTAACTCCAAGCAGAGTCTCAGGTTCTCCTAAAAGAAGTCTTTCTATTTCTAGGCTAAACAAACTGCTTTAGTGAAGGCTTACCTTCAATCCAGAAGAGAATTCAACCATTTCTTCTGCCTGGACATTTCTTAGGCCATACACACGGGCAATACCATCACCAATCGAGAGCACACGGCCCGTCTCCTCAAGTTCAGCAGAGGTATCAGCTCCCAAAATACGTTCCTCAAGAATAGAGGATACCTCAGCGGTGCCTAGAAAGAGACATTTCAAACCAGATTTAGCACACTAAGGCACAGTATGAATGCAGCAAGCTTTTCTTGAATTCACAAGCCAAGGTACCCTTTTTCTCAGGTATGCCACAACGTCTAGCAAGCAACACTCTTCCTGACATATGATGCGTAAGCTAAATAACAGCTTCTGTATTCACAGCCAATAAAAGCAGCTTCAACTCATCAGAATTCAGCTTCAATCAAGACGCTGACGGCTGTTTAGTTATCAATTTCCTTCATTATGTCCTATACTATTAGCAATCTGTCCCCCTAAAAAGCAATTAGATTAAATAGATTAGACTTCGCTCAGAAAAAACAGACACGCTAGCTCCACTTGCAGAGCATTTACTTAAGACTGGAGGCATCAAAACACCCTGTCAACTGATTTGTAATCCAAGATCCAAATATATTTAAAGGAACTCAGTACATTTAGGGATCACGGTGTTTGATAGAAGCTATAAAAACGTATTCTCCATCTTGCTCAAATTTGTTTGGCAGTGTACCTCCAACAGCTTTTTATTTCCACAGCTAGGAAACAGTAAATAACACTCTGAAACTGTTACTTCCTAATAATACCTTTAATCATCTCAAACCACTTCAAAAATTGTACATGAACCACTACCAAATACAGCTATGCAATGCTGCTGTCTTCTCTAAACACCAAGATGCTGGCAGCAAAAAAACTGTACTCAAGGACACAAGGTCAAACCCAGGCAGGCCTGGAAAAGTCATCGTTCCTTCACACTGCCACAAACAAGACAGGAAACCGGAATTTGAGGCATCTTTTCAAATAATTCTGCAGGAGTTGAAGACTAAATCAAATCCCTGTCAATCAAGTAAGCTGACATGTGGCCATGCCTTTGGCTTGGGCATGATTTGAATAGTTATTGAAGTCTCCTGGATGTGACTACGTAACAGAGAGTATACTGTCAAACACTGTCAGTACATAAATGTCTGCAAGTCTTTTGTCAACTGACACACACTCCGTATTAAAATTCCTTTTCATCTGATAGAATATGTTCTTAAACTGCACTCTTATATGAAGGCCTTTCTCAGACTCACCAGTTTTCTGAAAGCATGTTTTGGAGGCATGGATGTTTCTTGTAGCAACAAATGCTGCACCCAGGGTGTTTCTGCAAATCTAAAATAAGTAATTGTTTCAGTAACAATGAGATTTGCTCAATCATTCAAAAAATGTTAAGAGATAACATACTGAAATTTTTGATCATGAGCTTATACATTTAATGTGTCTCAATTTTTAGTTGAGCTCCACAGCACTCCATTCACAAGCTGCAGTTATGGAACCAAGTCCAACACTACTAAGGGAGGACAGATGGTAAAGGAGGTTGCTCTAAATTACTCGCTGCATTTCTCTGCATTGCACTGATGTCACCACCACAGCACTGCAGCAGCTCCCAAAGCAACACCTCCTCTCGTCTGCCACAGAGAAATCAGTGCACCCTTCATGGTTATGCACAAGGAAGAAATAAGATTGTGTCTTCTAATGGTTGACCTTTCTAAGAAAAATCTAACTGCAAAATTTCTGAAGCATGGGTAGAAAATATACGATAGCAGAAACGGAAAAAAACCCTGTGATAATAAATGCATTAAAAGATTATAATCCTACATCCCAAGCAAAGCTCCCAGTGCGGTCCCATGCAGCGTTAATGCTATTTCTCCGAAAGCCTGGGCAGGCCTCTCCTCCGTTCACCTTCACCAGGGACACCGGCCGGCAACGCGTCCTGACAGATCCTCGCACCCTCGCTCTCCTCACAAACACCAGAAAAAAATGCCACCTGGCAAAGCCTGACAGCTCAAATCCCAACACCTGGCTGGGATCTAGCAGCTTTCGGGCATTCACCTGCAGCCCAGCAGTGCCGATCCGCACCGGGGAAGGGCACGCCGTCCCCTCGACCCTCCCCGCCCCCCAGGTGCGGGCACCCCCGCTCCTCAGCAGGGGGTCGGGCCCCGCTGTCACCCAGCGCTGAGGCGAGCCCCACACACAGCCCCCTCCCGGGAGCGGGAGGCTGCGGCCCCTCAATGTCAACGCGGCCCCCAAGATGGCGGCGGCGCCCGTCCCGTCCCGTCCCGTCCCCCCGGTCACTCGCCCGCTCGCTCCGACGAGAAGGCGCGCCCACCACGCC